GGGGGGGGGGGGGGGGGGGTTGTATGTGTATGTGTATGGATGTGCCAGTGTTACTGTATGTGTCTGCATTTAAGGAGAAAATAAGGACAATTTAGAAATGAGTTTGTTGGTCAGAGAAAGAATGTTTGTGCCTCATACAATATTAAACAGCAGTTGAGTTACTCTCTGTCTCAACAGCTGGTGAGATCAGCATATACTATGGTTGTGTATGTGTGTGTTTGTGTGTGTGTCAGTTTCCTGGCAGCATGTTTCACTGGTCATTACCAATGCTGATGAATGTGCATCTTTATGAATTCCCATGGTTGGTGTCCCCTGTGGAATTCAAACTGCCTTCATTGAATATGGTGATTAGCTGCATTTATCCTTTTTGCCCTCTGGACTTTATGATATGAAAACATTTTATGATTATGTGCACACTGCACGTTTTCTGCAAATTTCTTCTGTTCAAAAGACCTGAAATTTTAAATGCTACTCTAGACATAATGACTTCTTTTAGTGGGTCCAGTTTACAAAGCTGTACATGCTGTCAGTCTCTACATTAGTCCTAATGACCGATGTAGGGCTGCAGAAGGTGAACCAGTGCATTTTTAAATGGTTAAAGATGACTTCTTATTCTGACTTTGCTTTGTAGACCAATGATTTCCTTTTTTTTATTATTTCAAGTAAAACACGTTAGTGTAAATTTATTAAGTTTACTGGAAAGTAATGAGAACCACAAAAGGTGTAATGAATTTTCTTGGTTCCTCAGATCCTCACTGACCATCTCTCCGTTATATAGCTGTTCATAAATGTTATTTAATTAAGAAAGAATATGTTTATTTGTATTTGTTTTGGGGTCTTTTTCTTTCGACATAAATAAGCCAATGTAAATACATAGAAACTAATAAAAAACCAGATCTAAAGCTGTTCATTCTCTCTTTTTTGCTCCTCTACTTCTCCCCCCCATCTGCAGATTTTGCATCACCACATAGCGTCTGTGGAGAAACTCTCCCTGACCACCACAGGTTGTCCTCTGGTCATCCAGTGTCGCAACTTCAGGGTGGTTCATTTCGTGGTACAGAGAGAAAGAGACTGCCACGACATTTACAGCTCCCTGCTGCGTCTTCTACGGCCTGGTGGGTTTCAGTGTGTCTCTCTGTGTGTGTCTGCGTTCTTATCTGTCCATTCACATCAGTTTTCCTGCCCTTTCCCATAAATGTGGTCATTCACACACATATGTAATAGATGTAGTACAAACACACTGTTTTGTTAAGGGTCTTTCTCTGGTTTCCTCTCCTCTGTGCAGTATCCTATGAAGAGCTGTACGCGTTCTCCTACAACCCCAAACAGAACGACCAACAGAGAGAGGAAGGATGGCAGCTCATCGACCTGGGGGCGGAGTTTGAGAGGATGGGTGTTCCCTGCGACCAATGGCAGCTCACCGACGTCAACAGAGAATACAAGGTAGATTAGTTTCCCGTATCTTGTAAGTGTTCTACATCTGAAGTGCCAAATTGAGAGGAAGAGGAGGATCTTTGTGCTACTTGTTTGTTACATCTGATGTTACCGTCATTACTGCTTGTTTTTGTGTGCTGAGAGGGGGAAGGACATGAGCACAGTTTTGGTATATGTTGTTAAAAATCACAGTTAAAAAACAGATAAAAAGGAAAGGCACTCGGCCAAAGTAAAGCTGGACTTGCTGACTGTTGTTGAACCTTGTCACCGTCTCTGTTTGCCATAAATGCCACCTGCTACAAAGAAAAAAGGAGTAGGCAGTTTGTTGATGTCACGTGATTACCCAACAATCAAGTCTGCCTGCTCAAATATGAGGCACAGGATCCCTTTGTTATAATAAACTGGCTATGACTCAGTGTGGTGAAATCAGTTTATACCGTTTGTTGGAGAAACCAGTTGGACCGCACATTCATAAAACCGGTCCAGAAGAGGGCGCTGGAGTGTAAGGAATGATAGACAAGCACAGCTTCAATCCAAAATGAGATATTTATATTTAAAAAAACTGACACCTGCTAAAAAGAAGTGATTGCTAGTTCAGAATATTATGAACCCTAACTATAGTTTTGATTCAACACAACATGTTAACATACACGCTAGTTTTTAGAGTAGAATTATCTGTTGTTTTGAAATTATTGACTAATGGAGGTCAGTTCAGAATGGTGGTTCACTTCTTACCAGGTGACATCGCCATGGTAACATGGTAATGTGCTGTGCGCCTAACCTCCTCTGGAGCAGCTTATGTTTGCGATCACTGACCACTCAGTTCTCTTGGAAAATGACATCACCAGTCATAGATGTATTAATTATTAAGTCTAATAATACAAAGGGAGGGAAAGAGTGTTCAGAGACTGGCAAAACCCCTTTTTAAACCCCCCTTTTATTTGACAATGATTTATATGAGACATGGTTTCTTGTCTTGACTTATCTTTTTATCCTACAACAGAGATTGATTGAAGCACTAAACCCTTGTACTTGTTGCAGATATGAAAGTAACCCTACTTACTTCTTTGAATTATATTTTTAGATGTATTTGTTATCTGCTCCCAACTCTTTTTCACACAGCCTGTCACAGCCGTTAAAAGAAATTGTTAATTTTTTTATTTTAATGTTAAATATGAGCATATGTTTTGGTATTCCAATTAAGTGTAATATAAATGTGTTTATTATAACTTAAAGTTGAATTTGTTTTTTATAGCCCTCCTTTTATTAGGCGCTGGTAATGTTGGTGAGTTTTCAGTAAATGTGGCCACTTTTTGAGAACCTTTTTCTGGCATGAATGGATTTTTTGTTTTTCCCCCAACAGTGTTTGGAAAATTTTTGAGTGCGTTAAATAAATGAACCGGATCTTTGTTATCCATGCAAGAGAATCAACTCATGATCTCGGGGTCAGATTTTCTTTTATAAAAAAAAAAAAAAACAAGAAGACACTCTCTCAATTTTTTATTTGTTTATAATTGTTTTGTTACTACACCTAGTAATAATAGTCCTGCAATAAAGCCTACCGTTTATGATGGTTATAATGTTCAGTTTCTGTTGAAACTGTTACAGTGATGTGTCAGAGTCAGGATGGTTTTGAGGATAGACTTATTTGGGTGCAAATATTGTTATTATTTAACTACGTGTTCTTACAGAACCTTGAAAAGAGATAAGACTCCTCATAGATACCTCACAGGACACATACGGTATGGCCCTCCAATGTGTAACAACAGCAGGGAGGTGTCAGACACTTGAATGTTTAAAGAAATAACCAGAAAAGTTACGTGAAATGATGTATTTGTGTGCTGTATGTGTGTGTGTGTGTGTGTGTGTTTATGTTCAGATTATGGGCATTCAGGCCAGTCCTTACTTCTAGGTTTCATTTACAGGTGCAGCCACACAGGTTATGTGACATATAGGGTATGTTTGTTTATAGCTGTTTGGTTTTCCAGGTGTGCGAGACGTATCCGCGAGACCTGTATGTTCCCATCACAGCCAGTAAGCCCATCATTGTGGGGAGCTCCAAGTTCAGAAGCAAAGGACGCTTTCCTGTACTCACATACTTCTACCAAGAAAAGAAGGTACTGAAATAAACTGTAATACACACAGTATGAGTACAAACCATATTACAGTGCTCTAACAAGTATTTTGATTCATTTATTTATTTTTATAATTTGGTTTGGTCTTACTGTATGTTGTAGTAGTTTATAAAGAGCAGGTGGAAGGAGAGAAATCACCATGGGAAGTAATAGAGATTGCTGTAAAAGGTGCAGGACAGTATAGTAAGCGTAGGGTGCCTTTTCACTGTACATTCTCTTATTTAATTATTTTTTTGCAAATTATTAATCCATAGTAGTCCTCCGTGGGTTTTGCACATACTGACATTATACCCACACACAATATTTTAAAGGCACAAACAACATATTAATCATTTTCATTGAATTGAAATGTTCTTAGTATTGCTAGTAACAGAGTTAAAAAAACAAAGATGTTCCACAAGGTAAGGCCATAGCATTGACGTCATTGAAAGGGTGTTCCCAGGGTTATGTGATTGTGCTAATAAAAACTTAATAGGAATGCACCTATGGGATTATATAACTAAACATCTTCATTGAGGTAACAGAAGAAAAAGTTGAGATTGTGGGCTAAGGGTGGCTCACAGAGTGTTCAGCATGGAAAGGACTTATCGTCTGTTTGCACACGTGGTTTGCAAATGACATGGAAATCAGCTCATTTTATTTGAATATCTTTTGTGTACACACGGAAATTTCTACCTTTTAAAACATGGTAGACGAAAGCTCAGAGGATCACCGAAGCGATTAGGATACAGCTGTTAAGACATTTCAGGGAAATCTGGACAGTAATTATCAAGACATTGGTATCATTGGGACCTACTAAACAAAAAGAGAATAAAACACAACAGTGCTGTAAAATTGTAACATCAGCACAATCGGTGCATACGTACTCACACTAAAGCTATGATGAAGGATTCACTTGTCTTTGTCTGACACACACACACACACACACGCCCGCTTTCTGTGCCCCATTATGTAAGACATCCTTTCGTGTGTCAACTTAGAAAAGCCGGACTCTTAACAATGATTTTGCTAAATGAGCTGTCTGCCCTCTGCGTTCAATCAATGCATTTTTGGCACAGCAACTTTTTGCTTTTACAGAATGAGCACCAGCACAGTGTAATACTGTACTACAAAATGGCTTAGTCATTATCAATTACTCATTAAGGACTGGAAAGCTAAAACGCAATGCTAGTGTTTTCTGTCCACAATCCAAACTATGAAGTAAAATGCTCCTGGTCAATTTTATAAAGATTAAACGATGATTAAACAGTTATTTCGTAGACGTTGGCAGACTTAAGGGAGCTGTAGTTATACAGACGTACCTGACTTAGATATGACTCACCTATAATACAGTAAATTATAGGTGAGTGTATATGAGTCGTTTGAGTTGACAGGTTAGCAGTGGTGTTTTGTAACCGTCCTTGTTCTGATGGGTGTGCTCTGTTGACCGTGACAGGCGGCAGTGTGTCGATGCAGTCAGCCTCTCTCTGGGTTCAGTGCGCGATGCTTAGAGGACGAGAGCCTGCTGCAGGCCATCAGCAAGGCCAACCACAACAGCCGATTCGTCTACGTCATGGATACCAGGCCAAAGGTAACAGCCTAAAATGTGCTGGATGGACGAACTGGATTGAACTGGGTTCATCACTACATAAACACAGTCTCCACATTTCCCATGATGTCTTATCTGTTTTTGTCTGTCCTGCAGCTGAATGCACTAGCTAATCGAGCAGCAGGTAAAGGATATGAGAATGAGGACAACTACTCCAACATCCGCTTCCAGTTTGTTGGCATTGAAAACATCCACGTAATGAGGACCAGCCTGCAGAAATTGCTAGAAGGTTAAAACCATGGTGCCACACTTACAAACATGTCATTGAAATGTAGTCCGTAAATTGTTAATCTAAAATGACTCCATCTGCATGTGTGTCTCTCTCAGTGATTGGGACTCGCTCTCTTTCCATGAGTGACTATCTGGTTGGCCTGGAGAGCAGCGGTTGGCTCCGGCATATCAAAGCTGTTGTAGACGCAGCCATCTTTCTCACCAAGGTCCTTTTTTTTTTTTTTTTCTTCTTTCCTGTTTTGTTTCTTTAAAAATGCATTTAATTCCACTTTCACATTGTTTTTATGTTTCATTTAAGATATTTAAACTGTATTTATAGTAATATGCCACATATTACTTTCAGAAAAAGACTTAAAGAATGCAATAAAAACCATAGCAACATCATCATCATCATCATCTCTTCCTCCTTTAAATCTCGACTGTCCACCTTGAACCCAAACCTCACCGTCACTGGCCCATCTCCACTAGTCCATTGTAGATAGATAGTGACTTTTACTCCTTTTTGTTATGCTTCAATGCTTTGCTGTCTGCCTCCACTCTCGACCCCAGGCGGTGACACTGGAAGGAGCCAGTGTGTTGGTTCATTGTTCAGACGGATGGGACAGAACAGCCCAGGTCTGCTCGCTTGGGGCGCTGCTCATGGACCCTTACTACCGCACTATGAAGGGCTTCATGGTACCAACCACAAACATGCACACACACACAGTTTGGAACGAGTTAAAATAGGATGTTGAATGTGTCCTACTTCAAACTTGCCTTTTCCCCACACTTGTCTTCTAGGTGCTGATAGAGAAAGACTGGATCTCCTTTGGCCACAAGTTTGCAGACAGGTGAGGTTTTTACTGGATTAATTAAGCCTAGAGCAAGACCCCAGTATTTCATAGTTATTTATATTTTATGACTATGTTACTAAATATATACTACATGCTAGTTATACTACTTAGTTCATTCTCTATTAATTAGTATGCGTCTTTTATTGTATGTTTGAATTGTGTACCTTTAGGTGTGACCAGCTGGATGGGGATCCAAAGGAGGTGTCTCCTATCTTCACTCAGTTCCTGGAGTGTGTCTGGCAGCTGACAGAGCAGTTCCCGCAGGTGTGTGCGAGTGTGTGAGCTACGTAATGCACAAACTGTGTTTGCACAGACGTGGGTGTCTTACTGACAGCTGGATATGTTTCACTCTATTTATTTAATGATTACCCTCACCCTAGGCGTTTGAGTTCAGCGAGTGGTTCCTGCTGCAGATTCACGAACACGTCCACTCCTGTCAATATGGAAACTTCCTTGGCAACAATCAGAGACAGAGAGAGGAGTTGCAGTGAGTCCAACACACACACTCAAAGAGTTATTGTTGTTTTATGCTTCTATGCTTCTGTGTATCCACCCATTCTATAAGAATAACATCACAGTGGACACGTACGACTTGAAACCCCTATTGAAACACCTTATCGCCATCTAACACTATCCAACACAATACCTACTCTGCTGTGTGTGTTATTTAAAGTACAAAGAAGAAGAAGATTAATAGGGCAAAACAATCCTCATATGCCCACATAAGGCAGTTTTGGTAACAAAGTATAGTCAGACATGTGTCTTTATATAAGAAGGGGTTGCAACAGTACTTAAACTTATGCTGACTGTCTTTCTCTTACCTACGTCTGCACTGGAAGCATGAATAAAGTCAATACAACATGATGGAAAGAAGATATCGTGACTTTTGAAAGAACACATTTATGACAATACTATGAGCTTTTGTGTGTGAAAGCAAAATTAATTTTGTTTTTTGAAGACCGTTTCCCCCGTTGGACTGTGCTGAAGTTGTGTTACTATATGTCTCTCTAACTGCTGTTTTGTGTTCCAGGCTGAGAGAGCGGACTCACTCACTGTGGGCATTTCTAATGAGCGAAAAACAGAACTATTTGAATCCGTTCTACAGCCCTGCCTACTCTGAAGTACACCCTGTGCTGGCACCTTCCACTCTGCCATACAATTTCAAGTCAGTGCCAACACATTCCTGCCATATTTCTTTTACATATTTTTAGCTTCCTTGTCAACTGAAAATGAAACTTATGTATGTGCTTGTGTGAACTTGTCTTATCAAGGTTCTGGAGGAACATGTACCACCAGTTTGATCGCTCCATGCACCCACGTCAGTCTATCCTCAAAACCATCCTGACCCTGCGAGAGAACAGCCGCAACGCAGAGAACACACTGCAAGCACTGGAGAGTGTGAGTTGACACCATAGACGGTTTTATTAAAAATAAAACGTCTGCGTGACGTCACCCATCAGAGCCCTTTTGAAGCTCAAAGTGTGGCGGCTCTGGCCGTCGCCATCTTGGCAGTCCTGACTCCGCTGGCTCCCGACTAATCCAAAATGTCTGAACGAGCCTGGTTACTGAAAACTGCCACCTGTGACAGCACCCATGTAAACCTGTTTATTTCTCCTGTAAAGTGGATCATTTTAATATAGGGCCTTATGGAGATCACTTCTTTAGCCAGCTTCAAGTGGCCATTGGCACTTCATTTGCCAGCCACGGAGGTTGAGACACCTTAATTCTTTCTATAGAGGCCATGTGTTGAAGTCAAGACATTTAATTTAGTCTTCCCTGAAATAAATGGGGTGGACATAATAGAAACACCTGTTAATGCAGTACAATTCAAAAATGTCTTTCAAAATGACCATACGGTTCACAATAAGCACCACTCTAAAACATTTTTAACATAAACTGGACATTATAACCTTCATGAAGGTGGGATTTATTGTACCAATAATAGGGCAGCTGTGTGTATTTTGTTGTTTTATACATTCAATGTGGATATACACTGTTGTCTTTTTAACTTTTTAATTAAATCCAGTTTCTACATAAGCTTAGACAGGCCTTTTTTCCAATCTCATTATCCCGAGATCATGAGTTAATTATCTTTTATGGATAATAAAGTTGTTTTCCACATAATATTGGGGGGGGGAAATGGTGGAGAAAGAAGACCATTATTCTGAGATAACAAGGTAATTATCTTGTTATGATGAATATTGTTGTCTTGAGATAATAATAATAATAGTAATTAAAACGGGCTGCTTTCAGTTAACATACATTACTTTGTATGAAATGAATGAAAACGTCCTTCTCTTTTGTCCCTCCCTCTCCGTCCAGCGGCTCCACCAGCTTGGTGTGACCCCCATCGCGACCTCTGACCCCCCTGCGCCCCCTCCCACCAGAGATCAGCGCTCCAACTCCAACACCCTCCCGCCACGTCCCGACTCCCTCATTCTGGGGGCGCCCATAAACCACAAAGAAGTGCAGCGGCAGGAGGAGGACGAGGAGGAGGTGGGCGAGGAGGCCACAGAGAGCATCGACACGGAGCGGACAGTAGAGGGCAGTAGCGGCACCGAGAGCAGGAAGCAGAGCTACGGAGAGCTGGACGGGACATACAACAGCGAGTTGGCCAAAGAGGAGCCAGCTGTTGTCAGTCTGGAGTTTGGAGTGGCACGCATGACCTGCTGAGACCAAACAGGGGGATTGTGGGATACTGAGGGACAGGGGTGATTGAGTGAGAGGGCTTACTGAAAGTGTGTGTGTCAAGGGGAAGCTGTCGTTCCGTGTGTGATAACGTCCTGATTACGCAATGGTCCGTGAATGGGCCGAGTGGATGAAGCTGTATGTCTGTATAGTCTAAATCTCAATGGGAAGCCTCATTATTATGTCATATACTGCACCTATAGGAAAAAAAGCTTGTTTTTTTATGAATGTTGAAAAGCACTATAAAGAACTAATGAATAGAATAAGAGAATAAATTCATCCAAAATATAGCGAGTCTTCTACTTTGTTCAGTTTTACTTCTTTTTTTTATATATTCCATTTTTGGCTTTGATATTCTTAACAAATCGTCATATTTCTCAACATGAAAACCAACCATAAAATCTTTTTTTTGGCACCAGAGATATTTCATCTCATCCAAAGGCTTGAGTCCAGCCTAATCTGAATGTTGTGTGTGTGACCTGATCTGATTTTGCTCCAATGTGACGATTAAAAAAATAAAACATCAAATTCTACATCATTAAAGATAATCTAGCACTGGAAATATTACTGAACCAAATTTTGGCTGCGCTACTAACTGTATCTAAGTAAATGCAGTTTTGATTAGTTTTTTTTAAGTAGTCAGATCATTTAACTTATTTAACTATTACTGTGACTATGGACAAATGGGCTGTGATGTTTAGCTGTCAACCGTTGCCCTCATTGACTATTTAATCCTATTTTACATCTCACATTGATCAGATAATCTGACTCACTAACGTGTCTGTCTGCAATGTCAGTGACTTATTGTTTATGACAGCTGACCCTGGTCAGGGGTCATTGCCACAGATACACCAAGTCAAATAGGTCTGAAGTCAATGGGTCTGGTTGTCAAATGCAAGACATGACTGCTGCACATTCTAAAAGGGATTTTTGGGGGATTTTTATATAAAATTCCCCCTAAATTATACAGGAATTTTCTTTAATTATCCTTTAGGAGTTTTAAAGTTCAACAAAAAAAATCTAGCAGCAATTATATCAAACTGTGTTTCTTGACACAGAATTTATTGTAGCTGCTAATACTGGGTGTGGAAATATTTAGAAAATGTCTCTCAGTCATCCCCTTATCTCAGAGCAGGACATTTTCATACATCCTTGTTTTAACTGGGTTATTTTTTTTTTACTATGGGGAATTTAGGCCAGAAGTTAACACTTATTTTTGAGCCAGACTGTGTTTTGGCTCAGCTTTTATTTGTTGAGACCATAATAATTCTGTGTTAATAATTCCAGACTGAGGTTGTAACTTTGCTTCATATCAGAGCTCAGAAAGGATTTGATCTTCATTGGACTGGATTTACTCTACAAGCAAACATCTTCCTAAATCAGAGTGCTGAAGAAAAACAAGATGTAAACCTGTCAGTATATAAGTGAATGTGTAATGTGCTTGTCTCTGCAGACTCTCGATCATTTGCATATATTTGTTTTTGTATGGTGCTTTGCGTGGCACACAACTTCACAACAGCAGACACTGTTCATTCTGTTGTGTTTTATCCAGCCTTGTGTGCTTCTAAATACTTTATGGAATTTGTGCTAGCAGCCTTGGCAGTGAACTAGTTCCTCCTTAAACACCACTCTCTTTATCATCCTTGCATACTGTAGGAATAAATTGAGTTTTGTGCTTACACACACATCCCCACAGCAATCAGACAAAGTGACTATTTGCCTCAGACAAATCAGTGTCTATGAGCACAACAACAACTTGGAATAAAGACTGACAGTGCCGTGTGTCAGCTTTCTCCAAAGACATCACATTACTCTCTCTGGTTTCTCCAGCTGTGCTTTTATTTGACCCTTTTAAAATGATCATTTGGATTAGTTTTATGGATGCAATGTGCTAAAGACGCTTTCTTCCAGTCAAATAATTTACAGCGTTGAGTTTAATACAGTTGATTTAATGGTATCAATAAGTTAAGTCGAAGTTGCAACATCAGAGTACCGAAGAAAAACAGAAATATTTAGTACTTAGTTTTTCAGTGGCACGCTCACTGTTTGGACTGTTGACAAAGCAGTAACTCAGGTTAATGCGCCTCTAACACGCTGTCACTACTTTCTTCCTGTAGCCTACTTGTGTGTTACCTCGCATGAAACATTGAGAGGTCTCTTCCAGAGGCTAGCTGCTGAGGGCTCTCCCAGGGTCCTGAATCATTCAGATGAGTACTGCACGCCATGCTGTACCGGAACACTGAGGACAAGGAGGGATGCTGTACTCACTCACCATAAACACCGCCAGTGCTCGTTCCAAATGTCCATACACGCACAGAAAGCCCACGTAAAATATGCACACACACTATATGTACAGTGGGTACGGAAAGTAT